GTTGCTAAGGTTGAGGAACACTGTATTAGATTATATCTTATGATGTTTTTTTAACATTTCTTTCATGCACAATTCCTCCTCCCATCTTCTTCATGGCCAACCATGGCTGCCTACTTAGGCTATGTCTAGTTTTCTAACAATGTTTCAGTACTTGTTTCTCCATTCCTACAGATTTTAAAAGCTATCAGGGAATTTTCTTTGTTCTCCAGGCTGTTAGAAGTAGGGATGAAGTTTGAGCATCCCCTAATGGCCACCTGCAAGCACAGCAAATGCTGTTAATGGGAACATACAATAAATCACCCTTTAACAATTTTATCTGCAAAAATGAGCAGAAAAGGCTTTTTGAAAATAATGATTTCTGGTAAATACCTAAACTGGGTAAATAAAGTAGTTTCCTGTCCAAGCAGAAGGAGCAACTAAATGTTTTCTTTCCATATATATTTTTTGTCACCTCTATGGAGGGGTGGGGGAGAAAACATCCTTTTCTGAAACCCATAGGTAAGCAATCATTAAAGGTAATATTTAGTGTAAATTCTTATGCTCCCCTATATGGGACTTGTCTGCAGAAAGAACTACCTATATTTCTTTCATCCCTTGCTACTCCTGTCCAGTACTCAAGTATAATTTTATTGATTAGTTGACCGTATCAAGAAACAATGGGCATCAGTGGCAATCAAACAGAATAAAATAAGGTAAAATGAAGCAAGATGAGTTAAAATATAAAAGAGTGAGATAAAATGCAAAACAGTACTTGTTTAGATGAATGTATCAGCTTTACATGCAACCTCAATATAAAATGTGTTCACAGTTGAACAGCCCTGACTATAAACTTAGCAGTTCTAATGACTATATAGGTGGTTGCGCCCTGAAGGAAATAAGGTAATCTTTTGTTATGCTTCCAATGTATAGCTCTGTTGAGTAGTGTCTATAAATACTGAGCCCTTGTTGGGACAATAATCCCTACTGTATACAGTTTCCTCTTCCCAATCCCATAGAAGATATTCTGAAAGTTCAACTAGCTGTTTCAACCAAACTAGCTGTTTCAGCCAACCAACTGCCATTCGGTCAATATCGCACCACCTTAGTAGCACCCGGGGTAACAAAACATCCTAAAACAGGAATAAAAATAAATCTGAGCTGTTGGTAGGAGGGGAAAGCTACTGGCCAAATATTGTTCTTTTTGCACATTACATTCTTACTGAAAGCTCTGATTATGACATGACTTTATTGTTTTGCAGTCAAGCATTTTCCCCAAGAGCTGCAACCATAGTTGTAAGTTACACTATACAGGTAACTTTAGCAACTGCCTTGTACAGCGACCATTCATAGCTATGATGGTGATGAAAAAGTAACTTTGTGACCAATCCTTGCATTTTGAACCTTTGCAGGTCTGTAAAGCAAGGAAAGCTGAAGTAAGATTATAAACACAGTCACGGCTTCACTTAGCAACCACTTCGCTTAACGACCAAGTTGCCAGTCCCAATTGTGGTAGCTAAATAAAGACTACCTGTAGAGCTTTTTTGTGTGTATCTGGTTAGGAAGAGAGTAAGAGGATCCAGAAGGAAAGATGGAGCAAGAGTTCAGGGCACCTTGCTTATATTACAGGATTTTTAAGAAAAACTGGGATTCTAAAATTGACTCGAATCAGACTATGTGAATTAAAACTGGGTTCCCAGATAAGATTGTTTCTGAAATCTAGTAGAGCTCTGAGTTTATTCAGGGTGAGATGAGAGCAAGTATATGGAGAAACGGCCTAACTTAAGTTCCATGAAGTTCAAACCTGGCAAACTGCAAAATGGAAGGCTTGTAATTTGAACTATGCAGCAACCAAAGCAGAAGAAATTTGGTTCAGCTGCCCAAGATGGATGGTCACGTGGGAATGGAGTGATGGAGTCCTAATGCTGGATTGGTGCAGATGCCAAGTGTAAAGGACCCTTAATTATTATTTGTTTTGTTCAGAATCACTTAATCAAATATCCTATTATGCTTTGCTTTCATGAAAACAAACAAGAGGAAGAAAGAGAAGACCATGTTAATTGTTGGTAATATAAATGTTGAGAAAAAGTGCCATGACTAGCTGAAGAATGGAACAAAGAAATTTGACTTAACATTTTGTAACATTTTGTTACTAAAACCAAAATAACTACTGTAATAGGTGTCAATTGTCCCCAAAATATTGTCCCTCCATGTGCATATTCATAGAATATGTGAATTTGTTTTGATCATCATAATATAATAGGCACCCCAGCATTTGGGTTCCTAACGTTGGAGAACAACTCACATCAATGGCTGGGATTGGTTATTCTTAGTGGGGATGATAGAACATGTAATCCAGCAGTACCTCAGTGCCCAACACTGGGAAAAGATGCCATAGAAGCCCTCCAAGCTTAATCTAAATGAAGGAATTTGTTATTCTGGGTTTGTCTCATCAGCAAGAGACAATAAGTTTAGATGTTTCAGGGTCAGCTAAACCAAACTTGAGAAGCATTCTTTGCATCTGATATTCTGATTTCAAAGCAATTTCATGTGAATATTATACTGTATGCCTATCCAGAATTATTCCACAATTAACAACTGTAAGTCAAAGATTAATTTATCTTCTTCTCTGTTATAGGACTGGATCAGCTGGCTCAGAAAGGGAACTATGTGTCAGCTCTAGCAATAATAACTGGAATTTCCTTATTTTTGATAGTATCAATATGCATTTTAATATTATGGAAACGATTTCAGCCACATAAAGGTATGTTAAATGAAGACCCATTACCTTCAGAGTTTCTATAAATTACACATTAAAAAAAAAAAATTATTTTCTTTCTTTCTTTTTTACAGTTATACAGCAGAAATTGAAGACCAGGTAGAAAACTAAATTATTATTTTTTGTATGAACTCTACGTTACCTTTTCTTTTTTAAAAAAATCCACTACATACTGATTCTACATGGAATTTAAAATATTTCAATTTTTAAAACCTCTCTAGGCCTGAAGCAGATTACCGAAAAGCACAAAGCATTTCAGGTAATACAAGCATAAAATGGAGATAAATCCACCATAAATGGGAGGGAGGGAAGGGAGGGAGGGAGAGACTGACTGACTGACTGACGGATACATTAGGAGCGGTCACTCTGCAATATAACCACTAGGGATGCTTGCCCAGTGACAAAATGGCCAGGCAAAATCTCTTACAAAGCACCCATTTGTCAGAACAGTACTTGCTTCCCTATCTCATTTCCCACTTCCATGTAAATTTTCTGACCTTTGTCCTTTTGTGGAGGTGGGCAGATGAATATACTTTGAAATAAAAGTCTGGGTTGCAGCTGTTCATAATTTTTTTTTTTTTTTTAAAAAAGCTTCTTGGCCAGAAATGTGCTTGGAATTAAGAATATGCTGTAGACTATTTTGCAGCATGCCTGATTCCCTTTTTTTTTTTTTAATTAAAATGTAAAAAGTCAAGTAGATGAGTCAGGCAGCTTGGAAGACACCAAGGAAGTGAGGGCGGGTACATGGACACACACACACACACACACACACCCCTACAGATATGAGGGGGAAATTCCAGTTCCAGGGCTCCTGTTTTTCTCTTAAAATCACCTCAAAAGAGGTAGGGAGGACAAACTGAGTTAAGGCTACAGTGCTAAAGAAAGCAGGTTAAACTTTTTGTACCTATTTTTTCCAGTGTATTAAACTGCCCAACAGTAATCAAAGCTACTGTTACTTTATTGGAAGAAAGGTATTTCCTTCTTTAGCATTATACTGAGGAGTCAGCCATTGCTTTTTCTTTTAAAAATCTGGAAATAGGTTATGAGATTTCTATGTGCTTCATCTAACTTGGAACAAAATTTGTATTTAAGGACAAATAAAAATGAATTTACTTGACTTTTACGTATTTACTCTATGCCAGTGGGAATACCTGTCCTCTTCCCTGGACTTCTGTTTTCTTATCATGTTCCACTTGGGACATTATTTTACATAATTTCCATCTCTTTGTTCCATGATCTCATGTAATTTCCTGTGCTTCTTTGTTTCTTCCTACCTTCATACTTCTCTCACTCAAATGTTCCCTGCCAGCTTCCCACAAGCAAAAGCACTCAACATTTTCTTAATATTCCAGTGGGACTGAAGCTGAAGTGTAATATGTTACAGTTGATCACAATTCATGTTTTTCTTTATTTAAACACCTGCATGTTTAGGACATGAAAATGCAGTGGATGATTTTGGAATATATGAATTTGTTGCATTTCCAGATTCTGCAGGAATATCAAGGGTAAGTGTTTGCATAATGAAATACAGATATTTGAAGAGTCAATGCTATCTATAAAACAGGATTGTAAAATTGATAGTTTAAAGATTCCCCAAATTACAATTCCTATAAATTCATGTTTTGAAAGTTTACTTTATTTTCCACTTTTACATCCAATTCTTCCTCCTGCAAGATCACAGTACAGGTGGTCCTTGGTTAAAGACCACTCATTCAGCAGCTGTTCAAACTTGCGACAGCGCTGAATGAGTGGTACTTATGACTGGTCCTTGAAGTTCTGGCGGTCGCAGCACCCCCACGGTCACGTGATCGCAATCCAGGTACTGGCAACCAATTCAGATTTCCAACTGTCACAGCGTCCCACGGTCACATGATTGTGATTTGTGACCTTCCCTACCAGCTTCCCACAAGCAAAGTCAGTGGGGAAGCTGGCAGGAAGTCAGAAGTCATGGTCATGTGAGGTCCTCACTTAATGATTTGCATGGTCCCCTCTTAACTTCAGTATCTAGGGACTGCCAGAACTGCCATCAGTAAGCTGCGTGGTCACATGAAGTCACACTTTATGACTGCATCACTTAGTGGTCCCAATTACTGTCATTAAGCGAGGACTACCTATAATTTCTATGCCTCTCCTTAGCAACAGTCTTGTTAGGTATGTTAGGGTGGGAAAGGTGATTGACCTAAAGCTACTCACTGAGACTCATGGAGTATGAGAGGTTCCACACTGGCTATACTATAGGCTTCTATTCTGGTCTTGCTTATTTATTTAAAAGAAAAATGTAATCTGCTTCTTTCAGGTATCAAGTCGGTCTGTTTCTGGCTCTGATGTTCGGCAAGGTCAGGATTTTAATGGCACAGTTTATGAAGTTGTTCGACATATTCCTGAACAAAATCAGGAACATCAAGAGTAAGTTGCATAAATCTGATATATTAAGAAGGTTATTTTGTTTTAGAGTTAGAGTTAGGGTTAGAGGAAAAAAAGGTAGGGGGAGACATGATTGATGAATTGATTGTCTATTATCAAGTCAATATTGGCTCTTAGTAACCACATAGATAGATTTTCTCCAGGATAATCTGTCTCCAACCTGGCCCTACAAGTCTTTCAACAGTGCACCCATTACCTCTGTAATCAAGTCCGGCCATCTTACTTACTTACTTATTTGTTTATTTATTATTAAATCAATTTACATAGCAACCCATCTCACCACAGGCGACTCTGGGTAGTGTAAAACAAAGCTAAAAACAGTAAAATACATTAAAATATATAAAACAAAGAATAAAAGGAAGTTAAAAATACTGCTGCTGGTAGCCCTCTTCTCTTTCCTTCACCTTTCCCTAGGAAAGACATGATAGTATTATTTAAATATCATGACTGCCACATAGAATAGAAAGTGAATGCTTGCTCTCTGTTACCATAGGGGGAGGAATTAAATATAGTGGGTTTAAATGACAAGAGGATAGTGTTCAGCTAAATACTTTGGCAATGACAGTATGGTTTGAGAGTATAGCTAATTACCTAGAAGAAAGAGTAGACTCTCCTATCTTGGAGATATTCTAATTCTGTATTTCCTGTGTCAAACAGGGAATGAATTAAATGGCCTTCAAGTTCCCCTTCTCCCCAAACACACACAATTTTTTGAGATTTACAGTACAATCCCTATGCATATTTCCTCATAAGGAAGTACGCTGAATTCATTGGAACTTGCTGCCTAGCTCAATTATATTAGGGAAGTGAAGAAAGCTTGGAGATAACTAAGAGTAGTTTTTTGTTGCTAAACACCTCCGGTATTCATAGCACATTCCTATACATAGCCTTGGAATAAAATAATTCTTAACTCAGAAACCCAGGTTATATTAATAGATCACCTAAACCACAATATATTTGGTTTGGTTTTCATGATAACCACCCAAGCTGTGTGGTTGTAAAACATGGTTTATGATTTAGTATTATGTGTGAGGCCACTTCATCTCATTCAACAGTAGTTCAACCAACTATGATTTAGATTAGTGTGTTAACCATTGTAAGTGTACATATTTTGCATCAAACTCTAGTTGATTTTCCTTTTGGATTCTAATCAAAACCAAAGTAGGATGTATAAGCCTAAGGTCTGATCATCACAAAAACGTTTTGTAATACTGCTGTTCAGGAAGGTTATCGCCTGAGTATGAGGTTACAGAATAGTAAATCAGGTCCATGGATCCCTCAGATTTAATATAAAATAATAGTTAAAACAAAAGTGAGTAAATCTCAATAAACTGCCAAAACTGTTTACAAATCATCATTCTTGAGTGAGGTCATGCATTCTCATGCAAGATTACACAAGGTCTCAGAATAAAATTGCCAAAAATCTTGTGAGATTTGATAGTGTCATGAGATTTCAGCCATTGAAAATCTTCAGCAAGCTCTGCAACATTATATGTAATTATGCAGAGTTACACAATGCCTGGAACTACTGCAGGCTTGTTATTGTTTGTTACACATATAAATATTTCCTGAGTTGGAAAGGGAAGGCAATCATCTCTCCTATGCCCCAAGGCTGTGATTAAATAACACTCTTTTTCCTTCTAGTGGTACATGAAAAGAAACCTGGAAGCAAAACTATTACAACTGTTTCCAAAAGTAGAACCAACCACTGCCAGCAGGGAAAACCTCAAGTTCTCACCTATAATAAAAATGCCACCTCAAATTTAAGAAGCAAAACATTTTCTCATGGCTACATTTCTAATGGAAATAGCTTATGATTACTGGTTAGAATGTAAAAGTTACCACTCTAAAAGCTAGAGCCAAATGTTGAAGCATTATATGTTGTCCCATTTTTTTATTCTGGAATTTGGGATTATTGCCCATCTTTGCCTAAAGAGTTGGCAATGTTGTTATTTGTTTAATGCAATGAATGCGCTTTAATATTTTACATCAGCCTACACTGCCTAAAAAGGAAAAACAGCAGTATGCTAGCAATGTACTAAATGCAGTAATTTTTTGTTAATGAATATCTGCTTTTTTTCTAACACCAGCACAAACTAAGGGTATATCAGCAACTGAAATAATGTCCAGCACTCCAGCTGATACACTTCACACTGTAAATAATATACTTTTCTATATGTAGGCATTCAATGCATGGATTATGAAATACAGTACTTGCAGCAGTGACTAGTCTGAGGGGGAGAAGTTAAGATCATCATTCTCTAACTTCCCTCAATTCCAGCTACCTAAAATTCTAATCAGTGGGGGGGGGGGCAGGGGAGGAGGGGATTGTTTTTAATTGTTTTAATAATCTCAAGTCTGAGTTCCAAACATCTGATTGGCTTTTATTCATTTGTTTACTTTGAAACACTCAACATCACTTGGCTTTTATTCATTTGTTTACTTTGAAACACTCAACATCACTTGGCTTTTATTCATTTGTTTACTTTGAAACACTCAACATCACTTAAAAATTACTTTTCAATACAGCTGTCTTAAAACAACCATTTTTTTTTTTCTGCCAATGTTCACCTTAATTTCAGTCTGCCCAATAAATGAAGACAAAGTCACAGTTGTATTTTCTATAGTCAAGTTTAAAGAGACAGAGCTTTGGGTTAACGTTCGGAAACCTTTGGGTATATATGTTTGTGCACATCCAGCACCCCGGCTCTAGAATTTTACATCTCAATTTCTTAGCAAGGGGGTAGCATTTATAATCATGAAAGCACATCATGGGAACTTTCACAAAATGCCAGTCTTCATTGAGAACTTGACCGTTTACAAAATGGCTTGTTATGGTGGCCATATCAACCAGAAGACAACCTGAACAGAATACTTCCTGCCAAACTCCTAGTCCCCCTGAATGCTCTCTATTACACCAGCATACCTGTTTTTTTTTCCCCTAGGCAGACAAGTACATTTCCAGACCAAAGCACTGAGTTAAACCAGCCACTATTTCTAATTCCTAAAATACCTATGTTATGCTCAGAGTATTCTTTGGTAAATAAAGGTGTGAGAGGTATTTTACTTGGCAGCATGCTAGTTTCCAATTATAATAATTAATAAGGCATATTTTTAAAAAGCCAGGTATCCAGGAAACCTGCTGGGCGAAGGGGAGCTATTGTGTAGCATCATATCGCCTACTTCTTACCTTAGTACCATCTTGAACATGACTGGAAGAAGATCATTTTGATATCGTTTTTAGATCAATTTTACTTGATATATATCAAAAATAGAATTCTCTCCCAGAGTCAGAGAATTTGTCCCAGTGTAATAATACCTATACACTATATATATTTTACATAGTTATTGGATAACGAATGAAAATTCTGATTATTAAAGAGTAAAAAAATGAGTAAAATGTGGAAATATCCCTTCATGCAATAGAGTACCCAAAATTAATTATATTTGTCTGTATTGCAACATATAATAAAAGTTAATCAAAACCAAAGGTAACTTAGTTGTTATTTATATAATGGTTAAGACGATAGATTTAATATGTACATAGTTTGCTCATTTGCTGAGTTATGAATTTATGTAATCCATTTGATAAGATTTTGAATACAAAAAGTAAAATTCTATAAATATGCAACAGTGTATATTGATTATTTTTGCCCTGGGAGAAAGGATTTTTTGTTTTGTTTGCTTTGGTGATTAAGCACTTTGATCTAGTAGGGTAACTCTTCACAAACTCTTATTTCAAATTTTCAGATGCCACAAAAGTCTTCAGTGTTTTTGCTGCAATAGATTAACATAGTTATCCATCTGGAAAGAATTAATGCGGCATTCTTGACAGGCATGAAAACAGATATAGACCAACAGGCACGCTGACAATAAAAACTACCATATTTACATCCAACACATTATTCTTGCAGCTACCTCTTTTGTCATCCACGTTGATGCCTTTCCTTTCACTTTATTCTGCTACTTTTGCTGAAATAATTCTGAAGTATCATGACTCAACTAGTCCCATTCAAAGTGCACTGGGAACGTGTTCAGTCTATAATCACAGCCTGTATGGTGTAGTGGTTAAGGTGCTGGAAGAAGAAGGAGAGGCACCAGGTTCTCGCTCAGCCTCAGCTCCAGATGCTTCTTGGATGACCCAATCCAAGATGATCCAATCACACACTCTCAGACCAATCTTCACAGGGTGGTTCTAGTGGTGAAAATAGCAGGCAGCACTATGTATGCCGCCTCCAGCTTCTCAAGGAAAAGTGGGATATAAGTGTAACAAATAAGTTGCATCTGCAGACCCTCACTTAGTTTACAGAAAAGTACATTACAAATTAGAAAGAACCTAGATAGCACTCTTGAAGGAAGGTGAAACTCACCCCGAAGAGCATAGAAATTTCATTTTGTGCATTCATATTGTATCATAAAAAGTACAGAATACAAACTTCTGAATTTTTCTTTCTTATAAGTGACATTGAGTACATGAATGAAGAAGGAAATTCCAAAAAGCCAATCCCCACAAAGGTATGCAATGATTTAAACAATACTGTACATTTTTTAAAGTCAGTAAGTCATTCATGACATGACAGGTCATGTTGTAGTTCTAAAAGACTTCAGCAAATAAAAAGTTTGTTCCAATTACATCATAGAGAGAAAACTGGAACAATATTTCTTAGCATACATTAGTATTTCTGTTTCCAGAAATGGTCATTCACTCATGCTTTCCTATCTCTCAATCTCCCGCAGTCACACTGGTCCTGTAACACTCAGAATCCCCACTGAGCATGGCCAAAGCCTTGCTGAGAAGTCTGAGAGTTACAGGCTTTCTCTATCTGAAAAGAGCCAGGTTGGTGACACCTCAAAGATTTCTCTTTTCTCTCAATCATTTTGCATGTTTATAGGTAATCCTCACTTACTGACAGTAATTGGGACTGGGAACTCTGTTGCTAAGCGATGCAGTTGTAAGGAATGATATCCCATGACCACACCAACTTCTGACAGTATTTCTGGCAGACCCAGCTACCACTGTTAGGGGAATCCCACATGGTTGCAGTATCCCGTGGTCATGTGATTGCCATTTGAGACTTCCTGCTGGCTTCCCCATTGACTTTGCTTGTCAGAAGTCATTCAGCAAGGACTACCTGCATACTGTTGAATATTGGGCTACAATTAACAGCTTGAAAAACTAATATCAGTCAAGTCTTTTATTGGCTGACCTTTCAATCTTGGAATGTTAGCACTATCTCAGGTAGCAAACCTTGAGGGTCACCATTATGCTGTCTAGCCCTCAAGTCAGAGCATGCTTTCAAACAGCTAGTTTAATGTACTGTCCTCCATCTATGAGGTGGCATAAAATATGTATGCATAAATTGGGTTTATCCCTACAGGCGTAGGGATATCCTCTGCCTTATTAATGAAGCTGGTGAATACTGCTGCTGTAACAGTTCACTTTGGGGCTAGTTAAAGTGCATGGATTGCTAAATTTCCCTCTAGGTGGGGGAAATATCCACTATTTGCTTTCCTATCTGTGTGTGGGGCTGAGACAGGGAAGAAGATCAGCTCTGACAGATGGCTAGAGCAGTGCTTTAAGTCATTTAGCAGAATCTAATTGGAGAGGAGGTGTCCCAGTAAAGCAGAAGTTCTCCCTTCCTGTTTATTGGAAATTCCCTTCATAAACCCTGGATCATCTGCAGCAACTTATCCACCAGCTGCCCCAACCACCTCTTGTATGGGGGATCTCCCCAAAGTCTCTTGCTCTGGCCAGCACTACCGCTGTGTGCAACTAGCTACCATGGATGTTGTGGAAGGGGAGAATAACTATGACTTCAAAGATATATAGTCTTTCCCATCATATTGCCATTACCCACCACAGGCAACTGGAGGGTGGGTGTGCCCATACCACCCAAAAGCAGCCAATAGGTATTGTATTGCATAGATCCCACCCCTGTCATGTCATCAGTTAAATCACCCCCAAGGCATGACACATGCAACCTCAAGCCAGAGTTAGGGGGAAATGTAGATATCCAGCTATTTCTTCTGAAGAATACAAGTGATTATCCTGAAGCAGGACCCTGGAAGTGTTCATGCTTGCTTGTTTATGCTTGGCTGAGTCAGCTACCTGCCTTCTAAGGAAAGTCCCCAAGTAAATCCATTACTATTATGACATCTGCTGGCACCACCACTGCTGCACAGCCTCAACCATTATGGTGAGAGGCAATGGACAGCTGTGAGAAGACTGTATGCTCTGCATCTTTAAGTTGGCTTGCTGCTGTTATGTACAGTACAGCATGCTGTTTTATTATCAGTACTGAAAAGTTTCAACTTCTAGACCAGTTGGAAATGGAATGAATTAAGGACACTTTAATCATTTTCACCCTTAACACCTCAGGAAGACTGCTCCGCTCAGACTAGTTGGGACTCTTACAAAATTAGCTTTAATGCTTGGTGTGATTATTATGCTAGATGATATTGGAAATAAGGGGGAAATAATACCAGACTGATAAACCTCAGAGCATTAATTCAGGCTCCACTTACAGCTCAAGTCTTGTTATAAAAGTTTTTTACCTAAAAAATGTGAAGGAAATGAGAAGCCTATAGAACATGATATGTCACTTGAACAACTGCAGATGGCCCAGAAGGTAAATGGACTATGTTGATAACATAGCAGATAGCCTCAGAATTAGAGAACAAGAAGGGGATCCCATCCATAGGGTTTGGAAGGAAAAATCCAGAAGACATAGAAGAACCAATCAGCACCCAGGAAAGTTGGAAGGTGGTAAAAGACGACCAAATGGAAAAGGATCCTAGCAACCTGGACTCCTGAGTGGCCTGGACTTTGGAGTTGTTTTCCCAGAGGGCTTCAGCTGCCATCATCAACTTGAGTCTTGCCTGCATCTGTATTCTATCGCCCAGAATCACTTGTTGAGATGGGCAGCCATACAAATTGAATGAATGAATGAATGAATGAATGAATGAATGAATGAATGAATGAATGAATTAACTAACTAACTAACTAACTAACTAACTAACCAGCCATCCAACTAGTGCCTGCAACTCATGGTAAAAATCTGCTGAACAAAATTGTTATAAAATTGGGGGAAATTAACCTTTTGATTTGACTTGATTTTATCTTTCTCTTATTTAGGATTGCTTGCTTACTGGCTTCTAATAAAACAATGAAAATATAACTTGCTGAGCCTTGGTTTCCTTTCCCCTTAAAGTCAGTGAACTGGGGAAAGACTTTGCAGGGCACTGAGTTGCATTAAGTTGGGGAGGTAAAAGTAGCGTGTTTGCAGCTGATAAGTCCTTTAGCCAAGCCAACTTAGCAATTCACTTTTGAAGAGAAACTCATGGTGAGATAAGATTGTGAGACTATTCCACTAGCTGAAAGGACCTGTCAGAAGTCCCACAGCTGGAAAGTATAAGACTAGAACCAGCTGCCTCAGAAGCTGGATATAGATAAAACAAAGGCTTGATTCAACATATTGTATAAGGGGTGATTTCTGACCACAAAATGTCTGTGTTTGGCATGGTCCATGCAGGCTTGTGAGATTACATTCCTATCAAGGAGACAAAGTATGCCTCTGGGAGACCTAACTAAGCAGAGCCTAGTTACAGGAACCACACCATAAATAGCTGGATGAGAGACTGTTAGGTTGGTCAGGACTCTAGACGTTAGGAAAAAGGAGGGATGTGCCTTGAAAACTACCCTTAGTTCATAACAAGACCATGTCCCTTTTTTCTCAAATGTAAAATTGGTTGGGTTATGGTGCTGAATAGGAATGCATGCAATTTAGTATAAATCTGCCCTTTGTCTATATGGCAGTAAACTAGTCAATTTTATTTTTTATTTATATATTTTTTAAAAAATAAAATCTGTCCCTGGTTTTTTTTTTTGTTGTTTTCTCTAACATACAGAATTCTTTATTTTTTATGTGTGCGTCTATTTTTGTGTGTGGATTTATGAGAGGAGAAAGACAAATTTTAGTGAATTCTATTTGGCATCGCTGTCTGTCACAGCAATCTGTTGTGCTGGATCTTGCAAATCTATTCCCAGAGAACAGAGGTTTCTTTTACATCCCTAGCTCACAGATTTTTTCATGGCAATCCAAATCAACTAAGCAACTTCTTATGTCGTTCCTCCATTAAATAAAAACGTTTTGCAAGTATTCTTTTGGCCATCAATGCTGCACTATAATTTGATGGACCCAGCTGAGATAGTGAAACTGACAGCTTTGATTAGAGAAAAGACATTGGATAATTTTAATGTTAATTGGAAGACCCTTTTGGACTTTTTTGCAGGAAACAGAAAAAAATGAAATTATGATATATGGATTTGATGATTAGTAAAATTAATAGATTATAGGAAAAAATGGATGTTAATTTGAAATCTTAGAGTAAGATTTCATGTAATGTATGTTTTACTTATATCTGCTGTAAAGGAAATCAGAACTCTTTTTTTTTTTTTGGTATTTCTGCTTCTTTCTTTTTCTTTCTTTTTCTGCACCTTTTCTTTCTCTTTATTCTTTCTTTTATTCTATTCTCTTTATTTATTATTAGTCCTTGTTACTTTTTGTTTTTTAAAAATTTAATAAAGTTATTATAAAAATGCTGCACTATCATTTGTTTAATATTTTTAATAGAATTGTTACAATATGCTGATAAGGGTTTTTGAGCCTGTACGGTTTTTTAAAATTATATCTTACAAGTCACTCTGGGAATTCATTTCAGTTTTAAAGGATTTGAGGAATATTTCTTAAATTGATAACTTATGTGCCATGAGTAGTTTTCAACTCCTAGTGACCACATAGATAGATCTTCTCTATGACGATCTATCCCTAACCTATTCTCTCAAGTCTCCCAACAGTGCAGTCATTGCCATTGTAACTGAGTCCAGCCACATAGCTACTGGTTGACCCCTTCTTCTCTTTCCTTCCACCTTTCCCAGCATTAGAGCCTTTTCCAGAGAGCTGGGTC